TCAACGCTGAGCCCCTCAGACTCTAACTACAAGTAAGTCTTATTCCCACTGGCTGCTCAAGGCAGAAATGGAAGATAATTTCTTTGGCCAAATTGATATTGACAGTGAAATGTAAGGTATACCAAGCCACCAGCGAAAACTCAATATAGGCTGAGTCCGACGTGAAAAAGCCCAGCGCAGGCGCGCCTTTGCCGAGCATTCCTTCCCATGTGCTCTTCAGTAAACCGCAGCTGACTGCAGGCTGTGCGGGGTCCCCGAGCCGAGCGTGCGCACGCGCAGGGAGCCGCCGCGTGGCGAGCGCGGCGCGGGAAGCTGAGCGCGGGTGCTCTCCTCTCCAGCTGAGAGAGGAATCACGCTGCATGTGATGAGCAATTAATGCACGGGCCAGTATTGAGCCACTGGGGTAATCCACGTGGGTAATTGTCCCAGGGGATGCAGTAGCCTGAGTTTTGGCTGAAAACCACGAACTTTACAGGGCACATTGGTCAACTTCGATGGCCTCTTCTTTTGTTCTCTTTAATTTGTAAAAAGAATGACAGAGCTTGTGTCGATAAGAGGACTGCCACAATGGTGAGAGTTTTAAAATTTGTGTTCATGCGATACGTAAAAATGTAGCCTGGCCAGGTCATCGTTTTTGTTGACTAGAACAGCAATGGTCTTAGCAGCAATGCACTTCGGGGTGCTGTAGAATTCCTCGGTTAACCTTTCCCAGTTAGGTAGACTTAGAGGTGTGCCCACTGAAAGTGACTTCGACTTACGTAGCGGTATTCCATGCGCACGGGTTAAGCCTTCACCTGAGCAAAGGCAGCGCGGGCCCTCTGGAACCTCGAGTCCGCGGAACAGACAGGCAAGAGAGACGAGCCTGCAGAGGACTGCTCTGGGAAACAGGCAGGCTCCGGGAAGCAGGCAGGCGCCAGCGGAGGCCCCGAGGGCCAGAGCCGGTGCCGCCGGGTCCGCACCCCGGCAGCCCGGCCAGGGTGTCCAGCAGGCGGGAAGGCTGGCAGCAGCCGGGATGCCCTCAGGCAGAAGAAATGAAGACAACGGAGCCAGGAAAGAGGGAACGCAGGCAGGGAGGGAGAGAGCGGAGGGCCGGAGGACGGAAGCGTACAAATACCGTTTTCTGTTTTGCACAAAGCAAACGGCCAATTTTAGAATATACTTGCATATATTGTAAGGTGTCATTTATTCCTTCCAAAAGCTGATGGTATAAGTAGTAAAATATCTACCTTTTTACTTTTTACTAAAAATTAGGTTATGGAGAGATTACATAAGTGCTTATACAGGAATATTTCGATCATACTCTTTGCAGAAAACCCTGTAAAATGTGTACCTTACACTCAAAAATTTGCCAGCAGATGTTCTTCCTAAGAATTATTTTTTTCTAAATAAATTCTGTCACATTATTTTTCATCTCTTTGATCTACATATCTTTTATGTTCTGTTAAACTTTTATAACCAAACATCAAAATACTGTACAGTAACTGAACTTAATACTGAACTTTTGAAGTGCTAAAGCACAAAGCACTTAATGCGTTTATAGATCCTTGCACATTTTTCCCATTTTGAAGTTTTTTGAACCTTGATTGATAGCTCCCTCCTCCAAATACATATACTTTATCTTAATACACGGGAATGCAGTTGGTCACGGGCTGCCTCCTGGCGCCTCCTGTGAAATATTCGCATAGTTAACTTTAAAGAATGAACTGCCTTCGCACTGACAGCACGGCACCGCGCCTGAGCTGAGCCCTTCTGCCTCTGCCCTTCAGCCTAGCTGTGTTCCTTCCTCAGAGCTCTCGCAGTGTCCGCTCCCTGTTTCGCTGTAGGGTGCTTCTCATGACATTCTAGTGCTTCTTTCGCCGTCTGTTCTATGTTTTCTGTAAGGAAAGAGGCTTTCTTTGTTTGCTTTCTCTCTTAGGCGTTCCCTTGCTAAAGAAAGGTATTGCGGCTCTGACTCTTTAAATGTAATGCTAGGGTACATGCCAGTGGTCATTAAAATGGTTATAGCTATGAAAATGACTCTGGTTCAATTAGTTTTTCTTTCTTTTCCTCTCTAGTTCTGGAGAGGGAACCCACAAAGGCACACCCGGCAGCGCTCCTGCGTGGAGCCACGCCCAGCCCTTCCGCTAATCACGGTAGAGACTCTGCGTCCTCTCAGTAGTGCTCGAGGGTCCCTCGGCACGAGCCGTGCCTGCGTATGGCCACGTCACACTAGGTTCCCCTCACCTACTGCCTCAGCAACTTTTTGGAGCAGATATTTTTAGTTTCTATTTAAATGTCGAGTACATTGAGCCCACAACTGTTAACTCCCTAAGGTACTTTGCTACTTTCAGCGGCAGAACGGCTGCTCTTGGCAGGACCCCTCCTGCCTTTGGGTCCCTGGCTAGCGCAGCACCGCTTCTGAAGGCAAAGCTGTAGCGCTGAACTCCTGCAGGTTTCCTTCCATCCGCCGCCCACAAGAGCAGAGCCACAGTGCATTCTTAGAGGAGTGTGGCACACGTGGGAGGGCAGTTAGCTCAGGTGTCAGGAACGGAGCTGTCTGTCACGGGGAGCCTCTTGGAAGTCCAGCAGTCCCAGTTATGGGTGGATGACCGAGGCAGGACAGCCTGGGCTCTCTTACCATACATGTGATGTGCTGCATCGCGTAAGATAATAGTTACAGAAGTCCAGGTGAACTGCCACACTGGAAGTTCTTATTCCAGTGGTTCTTTCTGTTATTTATAGAACTTTGCTCATTTTATTATTATGTTCTTGCAATTGAGTGCCAATGAGGCTTGTCAGTGTTTCATTTCTTTATATAGAACTGTTCTATTTTCAGCATTTCCAGAACTCAATGATAACTGCATTTTAAGCTGCATGCAAAATATGCTAATAATTACACATACTTTGTCATTAGTGCAGCGACTGATGATAGGTAATACGCATTGAAATTATTGATCAGCCCACAACAAAATTTGTGAATTGTCTGCATTCATTCAAACACCATTAGCAAAAATATCAGACAATTTCTTATATAGGAAGCCTACTGAATGACCTTAATAACACTAAGTCTAGCTTCAAGCGACAATTCAGGCTTTTTACTGAGAATTTGGTCTCCATTTCTTCCCTCTGTACCCTTTAGCTGTTGGTTTTGTTAAGATGACCCTGTTGTAGCCTCACCATGGCCTTTGAAGTGGGTGTGGAGTGTCCTGGCATTCAGGCTTCCAAGCAGGAAGAAAGGAAAATGTGCCTGGCAGGGCCCCTTGTGTCACTGCCTAGGCAAACAGTGGCATTTTCAGCCTCAGAAAGCTTGGGACAGGTTAACCTGACAGTGCAGATTCTGCAGTAAGTCACCTCACTACTCCTGCCTCTGGGACCACTGGAAAGCCTCCTGCCCATCAGAGGGGAGGACTGGACACTGCTTTCACCGGGTGCATGCCAGGCAGGACCTGCCCTACCCATCTCCAGACTGCGTTTTGGTTCTGCCATGCATGAGGAAAGAGATAAAGGCACAGCTGCAAAAAGGTTTAAATAAGTCTTTTCAGAATTGCATTGATTACTTCAGTAACCCACGAATACTGAGCATTTTAAATAGGTAGAATGCATAGGAAAGTTTTAGAATACATATGAGAGTAAGTCTAAACTTCCAACAATTAAATTAAGATAGGAATTTTCATTCATCCAATTGCAGAGGTAGTTTACCTTTAGTAATCCAATGAGAATGGTGTTTCATTAAAAATTAGGACTTGGAAAATTCTGTGATGATAGAGAATTTAAAATACCTTGTTATTGCATAAAGCCTACTTTATTGAATACATATATTTTATGTTACAAACTTAGAAAATATACAGGTAAACACTACAGGAAATAACTTTTTAAAAATATTAACTTACATTATAAATAGCTTAACATTAAGGTGGTTAAAATAATTTGTGGGCAACAAATCCTTCTGGGAAGTTGTTTTAGCTAACACCTTAAAAATACTTCCAGGTAAAAGCTCATTCACTGTAACAAGTGTGGCACGCCAAACACTTGACTTTTATTCATACCTGCTTTCAGTACATACTGATTGCATTCACTGTGGAGAATTAGTACATCCACAGAGCACATTTCAATTATATACACAAATTGAAAAGCACACTAATTGGCCAAGGAACATAGGAAACATGTGAGACAGCTGCGCCAAGTCCAGGCACACATTTAGCTGCGCCGTTCACTCTGAATTACAATCTCTTTTCCTACTGCAGTCTGTCGTACTCCATTGTGTGTGTGTGTGTGTGTGTGTGTGTGTGCGCGCGCGTGCGCTTGTACATAGTTCATCACAGAAGAGACACTACTTGATAGTTAAGCTCTGCGTCTGGTTTACTTCACTTAGTGTTTTGGTGTCCAGGTGCACCCATTTTCCTACAGTGCTAAAGTTCATCTTTATTACTGCACAGTAGTACTCCACTGTGTTATTTATAGCACATGGAAATCACCATGGAGTTGCCTCAAAAACCTAAAACCAGAAATTCCATTTGAGCCAGCTGCTCCCTTTTGGTCTTCCCCGGCGAGCTCAAGACAGTATGCTACAGCGATGCATGTGCACCCACACATACACACGGAAACAGCCTAGGTGTCATCAACAGATGACGGGTGTTTAAGCAAAGAAACATTTTCAACAGCTGCCTTTTCCTTCTGTCATTCTGGATTTCTTACTTTGGAAATTATATTAGGGGAGCAGTTACCACATTACAGCCTCTCATGAAACCACAGCACTGTCACCCATGGTGGGAGCCTGGCGCTAGAAATGGTCTCACCAGCTTGCACAGCACGTAAGCCAACATAAGACCATGCACAGACAGATGTGCAGGAAGGGACCTGGGTTGGCGTGTGGGTGACACTTCCAAGTTGGTCAATTAGGGACTTAGAAAGTGAAACAATTGGCAGAATACGTTTTAATGTGACATTTAATTCCTGAATTGCTCCATAACATGGGACCTTCTTTAACCTGAAGCCTCTCTTTTCCCTGTCTCTCCTCATAGGCAGTGAGCACGGACCCGGTCCCTGTCAAACTGCACTATGACAAATCCCACGACCAGGTCTGGGTGCTAAGCTGGGGCAGCATGGAGAAGACGTCCCCGACCTTGCAGGTAAGGGCTGACAGGGCCCGGGAGGAAAGTCTCTTCAGAGGGCCCCTGGGCAGTTGTCACCATTCAGTGCCTAGGTTTGTCCTCCTGCTACATGGAACATTGTTGATACTCAGAAATGTTGGGTGGTGAAAGGACATAATGAGATTCAATAAAGGCTATAATTATATGCAAAATCAGCACTGGTGGGACAGCCACAGCATGCAGGTGTGGCGGTCCTCCTTACATACAGCAGGTACAAGAAGGCAGCTGCAGCCTGTCCAAGTTACAAAGTGACCACTCTGTTGCTGCCTACCCTGACTCAGTTCCCACAAGGGTGCTACCAGTACCCCAAGTCCATGCTTCTGCTGGGGACCACAGGCAAGACCTGACTGGGAGCCCTACTGCCTGCTTCCTTTCACCCAGCTGCTCTGAAGAATCCTGGAAAACCCTAAAACTAGAAAAATGGATTTATTCTGAGCTGAGCCAAATCAAGAGGGCAGCCTGTGCATTCCAACACAGAGCACAAGAGACACCTGCCTTTGTCTCTGTTTAGGATGGAGCAAGAAACAGGCTCTCATGGGTTTGCCACGCCTAGTCACCAACACTCGCAGCAAATGTCCAGGCACCCTGGAACCCAGCCCAGGTGGCGGTTTCCACTCCCAGCACTAGGCAGGGAGAAGCAAGTGCATTTTTAAAAATCCCGTATTTTTAAAGCTCCCGTGCACCTTTCTGCTCCCACCTCTCAACACTGCCGCCTGGAGCAGGCTTCAAGCTCTTGGACTTGGGAGGCACATGCCCCCTAGCCAGCCTCCCCAGAAAGGTCCAGAAGTGCAGAGACCGGAGAATCAGCCCGCTCCCAGCTCTGCAGACACAGAGCAGCTTGCAAACTCTGCTTTAATCTAGAAATACTCCATGATACCCCGAGACCTGCTTTGAAGTTGTTTACACGAGAACTTCACAGACACAGGAAAAATACATTTTAATGATACCTTTTGTCAGTCTTCAGGATTGTAAGCTACAGGGAGAAATAGAAAGGGATTTAGAAGAAACATTTAACCCTAGAAAGATGGTTCATATGATTTCTCGGGCTCCCTATGGTCATTCCACTTCTCCACGCAGGGCCTTACCTTGGCCACCTTCCGACAAGGGCTGCAGAGTGCAGCTTCCTATTCCTGTTCTGTTGTCCCTAACGATGTTTTGTTTCTGAGGTATTTTCAGTGTTACAATATTTAATTGAAAAAATGACAGGTCTATTGAAATATTTTAATTAGATATGATAATCATGGCTCATTTTATATTTAATAGAAATAAGTGAGTTGTGAAATATAATATTTCAGTTATTTATTTTGTCAATTGGACCACAACAAAATTTGATGTCTCAAATTAAATTTACAAGTGACTCATCCCTCGCAGCTCTGAGGTGCAGCCCCCAGTGTCCAGGAGCGGCCCGAGTCTCCATCCCCGGGGGCCACTCAACGCTGCCCCAGGAGGGCTCTGCCCTGGGAGATCCTGGCTCACTGGGGCCGCCTGCCTCCTCTTGCTGGCATCTTCTCGGCCCAGTCTCAGGTTAGAGGAGCAGGAGCTACAGGCACAGGCAGTCACTTCTGCCACATCCTCCTGACCAAACTCGGCTCCACCAGCACCTGGCCCATGGGTTGGCTGACAGAGCCGCGTCTGAGGGGAGAAGCATCTCGCTCTGGTGGGGATTGTTAGGACAGCCTACCGCTAGAATGATGGGGTCCCCTGACACTTCCTCTCGGGTGCAACCTTGACAAGGCAAGACACATCAGTAGAGATAGTCATGAAGACAATTATTGATATAAATTATTTTAATACTACTTCCTCTACCTTAAGAAAAGCTTCGTAAAGCTTAAAACACTTGTACAAATAATTTTCCCTTGTTTTGAAAAAGAAATCAAGAGCACAAACACATGCACTGTGTTCCTTAAAATCAATCCCTCCGTCTTTTCTGACCCCAGGTGCTTGGATAGTTTAACAGTTTTCTAAATGTTGCAGTGTTTTCACACAACTGTTTGGATAATCTCCTTGAATATTGTACAAGAAGGAGCCACAGAGAGGTCTGCCTTATTCCCCCCGCCCAGTGCAGGCATGCAGAGTAGGTTCTTGTTTCTGAATGCCTGAAGAAGTACGCAAATGGAACGGAGCAAAGTCTTAAAATGTTTACTGAGTGGGAGTGGAGGTAGCTATTCCACCTGGAGAGGTAAACGCAGTGTAGAGCCCGAGAGTTATCAGAGGAGCCAGGAGTTATTTAAGTCAGCGTGACAGTTGGAGAGAAGGACGCAGAAGGTCTCGGGGTCCCAGAACAGGCTCTTTCCGACTTCTGCAGGAGCCAGCATGTGACCCTAGCTCCTCCTTGGCCGCCAGAGCTGCCGCGACAGGGCTGCAGGGAGGACGCGCGGAGCACGCTCCATGCACGCGCGCAGGAGCCGCGGGGCGGCGGGGCCTCCTGCGAGCGCAGGGCCAGGCGGTGCGCAGGCCTAAGTCCTTGGCTCGCCACTGGTTGTTCGCTGCGCTGTGTTCGGAGCTCCCAGGTTCTGCAGAAATGTCAAGATATTCATGGCAATTGTCTCTCACCGGGATTATTAGGAAACAGCCACAAAGAAAATGGAATTAAGACATTTGAAAAGGGAAAAAATGCTCTCAAGAAATTCAATTCATACGACTTCCTCTTGGTTTAGAGCTCTCGTGCCGGATAATTGGGAGATAAATTGGTAATGGGCGCGACGCCTAAGAAGTGGGTATTTCCTCGGCCCTCACTCAGCATCTTTCATAATCCACCAACCCGAGGAAAGCTGTCTCAAGGACAGGAAAGCCCTATTTCTATTACGTGGCTTTATTTTGCTTGCAGTTTAAACCATGTATCTTTGACGATTTTGAATACAAAGTACACATTTTCTGTGATATATTATTGATAAAAATTAACACTGTCACAATTTTAGGTGTGTATGGCAATGACTTTCCGATTAGTCTTCCTAGGTAAATTCTCAAAGATTTATCATAGCTATGTTTTTTCTTTCTAAATGACACCTCTCTTCTGAAAATGTAAGAATTACCACTCTAAAAAGACATGAGTGTGTAGGCATTGTGTAATCGGTCCAGAATGTCTCTATAAATGCGCAGATTTTAGAGAAGATGGTCCCCGAGGGTCATGAGTGCAGCCCTTTCACGTGGCCAGCGCTGAGGGAGCAGGTCTTGGGGGGCAGGCCGTGGAGCGCGCGTGGAGACTGGCCCACGCGGGGCTGTGCGCGCCGGTGGCCTGCTCGCTGCGCGGTGGGAGGTCCAGAGCCTCAGGAGAGCCTGCTGCAGAACCACACGCCGCTCATTTCTGCCATGACAGAGGAAAAGCTAGAAGTCTGAGAAATGCATTATGTAATTTAGACAGTAGGCCGAGAGTTGGTGAGCAGCGCGTCCAATTTGTAGGAAGGATTTGAAAGCGAAATGTAGGCAGGAGAGAAGAAGGATCTTTCTTGTTATTTATGTGTTGATCTTGGAGCTGGGGATGGAACGCAGAGCCTTGCCGCGCAGGAACGCGCTCCCACCACGCGATACGCCGGCCCAGGGAGCGCGGTAGGCGAAGGCAGCGCAGCAGAGGCGGTTCTTGCCGCGCAGCACCGCAGGGCGCACCTGCAAGCAGCAGCTCAGGCCGAGGCAGGTCACCAGCTTGCTCTCTGCCGCCAGGGACTGAATAAAGGGTCGTCATTTTGCCAAAGGCAAATATTTTTAACTTCCTTAATCTTTGGATTAAAATTTTCTTCAACTGATTATTTTCAATTTATTTTAAAATATGGCTTTATATCCCAAGATTTTAAAGGCTTCCGTGTCTGCCTTTGGGGTTTCCGTGCTTGCGTCTCCAGCTCTGCGCCAACGCCGCCCGCCTGCCTCCCGCCCCGGGGTCCGGCTCTCATTTTCTCATTCAGCATTACAGCAAGGTTAACATTCTCATAATTTGGGACTTTTATAGAAAAACGCTTTCTACTCGGAAAATAGACAAAGCAGACAAATTTCCACTTGATTAATGATACAGTAATTTTGCAGAGGGCTCAAAGAGTCTATGCAAATGACAGAAAAGTTAATTTTTCTCTAAGTAAATTGGAAGCGGCCCAGGTAACCACTGTGCTTCTCCAGGTGGTGACCCTGGCCAGCGGGAACGGCCCCCACCACACGGTGCACACGCAGCCTGTGGGCCGGCACCTGGACAGGGTGGACGACTTCTTCATCCCCAGCACCACCCTGCTCATCAACCACGTGAGGTAAGCGTCAGCACTGGCTTTGGTGAGAGCCCATGATGTCATCAGGTCTGTCTGTAAGAACGCGAATGATTGCTCTTGATTTGGCTTTTTTTTTTTTTTTTTGTACCAGGGATTGAACTCAGGACCCTGTGCCTGCCAGGCAGGCACTTATTCTCCTGAGCTATCTCCCCAGCCTCTCGATTTGGCTTTGTTTCTACTCTGAATGCATTTACATATGTCAATATTAGTGATGAATTTCCCACTATATGTTTCTTTTCATGTCTAAGAAATAAGTGAATTTATCATGCAAGCAGTTGGGCTTTGTTGCCTATATCAATTTAACTGTTAATATGTTTTCCAACTTGTCCCTGGGATTCTTCTTCTGACTCACCTGCAGAGTGCTGGCATTTCTCGGGAAGAACAACAATTTCAGTGATAGACTAGAGCGCGTGTCCCTTTGCAGCTGACGTGATGAATGAGTCCAGTCTCAGAAATCTGTCTGGTGCTACTTTGTAACACCCTACTGTCAGGTTTTCCTTATCTTGGAGTCAATATAAAACTGTGCTAGGAAGTAGTTTAAGTGGATGTGAAGCCTGTGAGGGCCGCTCCTCCCTTGCTCAGGCATGTTGTCATTTTCTGTCCCTCCAGCTGTTGCCACAGTGGAAGCGCGATGTTAGCATCTGGGGATGCGGCTCAGAGGCTTCCGCCAGTCTAAGGGCAGATGGGCATGCGCGGGCTCCTTGAGCGAGCACAGCGCGCTGGTGTGCTGTCCACACCCGGCGTCGCTTTTGACTCTAAGAGTTACAGGGTCGCTGGAGTTAAGACTGGTAGTTATTAGAAAACATCCAAATAATATACACAGATAAAAGGCACAATGTTGTTTTAATTATTTCTATGAATTATGAAAAAGCCTGCAGCGTGTGTCTGAGAATCCTTTTCAAAAATCCTTGTTTCTTTCAGTAGGTGCAGTGAAATGCATGGGTGTCTTGTCTGTACTTCGATTTAAGTGTGAAAGAATGAAAAATTAATTGATTGCTCTCTGACCTGTACATACAATTCCATTTCTGTTAGCATGACTGATCATCAAATTTCCTACTGCAGCTCAAAGTAATCATCTCTATTTCTTCACTGCTTAGTAAGAGTAAAAATTGACTGCATTTCCAAAAACAAATAGTCGACTGTGTGAACTGTCTGTGACAGTTGCGATCCGTTGTACATCAGAAGCACCTGAGCAATACACAGGGCATTTCTCCGTCCGATTTTATGAAATCCATTCCGAAGGGATTTGGCCTGTGGGTAAATACATGTTGCTGTTGAATTTGTCTGAATGTGTTCTTCCAAAACTGACGCCACTTCCTGAGTGTCGCCTTGCCAGGAGGGGCCGACACAGAAGTTTTCAACCATGATTTAGTCCCAGACCTCTTCTTTCGTGAAGAAGGAAAAGTGGGTGCGATCACCCGGGGTGAGAAGGACATAGTATGCTCCTATCTCTTGAGATACCACTACTTGCCAAGGTTTTGAAAGGGCCGGACTAAATGCCGAGCAAAAGTTCATTGTCAGAGCCTTCATAATTAGCTCTGTGGAGTGGGCTTCCAACATACTAAGGTGTGAGCTGCTTAATTTTTCCTACTCCCTGAAATATAAACTTGAAAGTGGGCTAATAAAACAGAGGTGCTTTTTTGCTATTTACTAAAAATGGTAATCATGTAGCAATTTTATGTCTTGTGTTTTTAAATGAAAATAAAATTATCATAACAGGATCATATCTTATGATAATTTATACAGAATCAGTTCCACTGAGTATTTAATAATAATTATATTTTACTTTAATGATTCATTCTACTTCTCACTAATAACTAAACATTCGTTATCAGACTTAGTAGTTTGTTAGTGGAGGATTTTTTAATATTTTATTATTTTTTATGTAGTTGATACAAGCTCTCACTGTGCAGCTTGGGCGCATAGTGATCCTCCTGTTTTCAGCCCCATCAGCGCTGGGATTACAGGCAGACGCCACCATGCCCGGACGCGGTAGCCATCTCAGAGCACCTGGGGGCAGGGCCAGGGCACCATGTGGTATCAGAGATCAAACCCTGGTCCTTGAGCTTGCCAAAGCAGGTACTTAACCTGCTGAGTTATATTAACAACCCTAGGATTTTCTTTAGAAACCTGAATCTTCACAAATGTTAAGAAATTGTTAAATATGGTTTTAGGGTTGAAAACATTATATAGTGGAAAAGGGGTGTATCTTACAGTGACATGAAAATTACAAATTGATATATGAAGAATCTCACTTCACATTTCTATCATTTATATACAGACTATAGTAAAACTGAGGCAGTTAAAATTAAAGATGTGTTTGATTCTTATAAGAATCAATTGTGTTTAACATAATAAATATTGCAGTGAAAATTAATTCTTTTTAGCTCAAGTTTACTCTACAAATATCAGTGTTCAGAAAGAATGAAAGGGCCAGCAAGATAGCTCGGCAGACTAAGAGTCTGCTTAGGCAAACTCAGGTCCAGGGTTCGATCCCTGGCACTACATGCCACTCGGGGCCCGCCCCATATGGCTGAGCATGTCCAGCCGTGCTGGTGCACACATGTAATCCCAGTGCTGGTGGGGCTGAAAACAGGAGGATCACTATGAGTCCAAGTTGCATAGTGAGACTCTGCACAAAACAGAGAGAGAGAAAGAGAGAGAGAGAGAGAGAGAGAGAGAGAGAGAGAGAGAGAGAGACAGACGGAAGGAAGGAAGGAAGGAAGGAAGGAAGGAAGGAAAGAAAGAAAGAAAGAAAGAAAGAAAGAAAGAAAGAAAGAAAGAAAGGAAGGAAGGAAGAAAGAAAGAGTGGGTGAGCTGCATCACAGAGGATGGGCTTTCCTGGGGCTAACACCTGAGAGAGGCATGTGGCACTGCACCAGGCTGCCTCGCCCCTTGCAGGCCTTGTGGATGATGCCCAGTTCAGCCAGGCCGACTACCGGATGTGGTGGCCACACACGTTCATCCACGAAGGTGACTGCTGCACAGGTGTCTGCAAGTCCTGACTGCCCAGGGGCTGGAAGTTCTCATCCCCTTGGTTTTGGCTTGACTGCAGCCATAATCTTGGCGCTTGAGCTAGTTGGGACCTGCTTTGGACGGCAGGGGTCTAATTCCTTCAATAAAGAAAATTGCCTTATTATTCTACCTATAATTTATACCCAAAGAAGTTGTTGTACAGCCCTATTCCCAAATTAAAATGAAACAATTTCATTGCCTGTAAGCACGTGTTTGGGTCCGGCGCTGCCCCTCAATGTTGTGACACGGCTCCCGCATGGGAGATTAAGTGTGGCTTGTGAGCAGTCCTTGGAAATTACCCAAGAAGTTCGAAGGTAATTAAGTTTATTACTTTTTGGAAACATTCTTACAATGCTTGTTTTCGACTTCAAAGCAACAAACTTTCATACACCATAGAGATTTACATAATTGACTGCGCATTCTCAACATTACAGAGAGGAAAGTCTGAAGTCGAGGTCGAGTTGTGGAGCGCGCAAACGGTGCAGCTTGCTCTGCAGGTGCTGCCAGGATGTGCATAAGTGAAGCAGGAAGCAGCGGGCTTGGCAGTGATGCCGCGTTGCCAGGTTTTCTTTTAATGCCTGCCCCAAGGCTAGTGGGGTAAAAACCCTGACAAAATGGGAGGAAAATGGAGAAGTTGAAGGTTTCAAGGAATGAGCATGCAATGTTTTCATAGCAACTCCCTTAAAAAGTGTTAGCTAGGGGCTGGGGATTGGCTCAGCGGTAGAATGCTTGCCTCGCAAGCTGGAAGCCCTGGGTTTGATCCTCAGCATCAAAATCAAAAACAAACAAACAAAAAGCCTTAGCTAATTCTTCCTGAGAATGGTATCTTTTTTGGTAAAGAGCGTGAGCTAGGAGATTAGGCTGTGGGAAAGCTGGCCGCAGCGAAGTGGGCAATACCGTCCATCTGTCCATGGGGCGGGCCTGTGCAGAGCTGTTCCCAACGCCTGCAGGCTGCCCCGGAGCTTGGCAGGCTTTCAGCAGGGCGCCTGGGGCGGGAGCCAGACCTGGTTAGGACCCAGACATGGACAGCTTGCAGTCCAGGGGTGTCCCACGCGCTTGCATCCTGCCTTTCCACTTTTCTCCTCCGCCCAAACTCACTCTGCAGGGCCAGTATCGTCCTCACCGCTCACTCTTGCTCTTTCCAATAAACATCGCCACAGCTTTTTGCTTGTTTATTGCTCAGTTCTCTGTTTGAGAGAATAATCTAACTCCAGAAGGACAGGTGAACGACTCCCTGCCCGTTCGCACCCTTCTGGTGCCGCCCTGGAGAGCAGCATCCGAGGCCCAAGCGCACGGGTGAGGCACCTGCGGGGCCCCGGGGAGCAGAGCAGGCGTGTGCGTGCTGCGACTGCAGGCGCGGGGACCCTCGGACGCCGGGGTGGGCTCCCCCAGCTTCGGACTCGTCCAGGCACGGACCGCTCTGAGGAGCGTAGCGGAGATGCTTTCACCAGGGGCGAGGGGACAGCTGGTGCTTGGGGGAGCGCGTTGCCAGTGGAAGTTCTTCAGGTCTGCTGAGGTAATGCCTTTGATACTAGCGAGCAAGTGTCATTAGGCGAAAAAGTGCTTAAAGCTCATCCTTTGTATCCCTGCAGGCCGTACCTTTTTCTCTCTTCTCCTGTCTGTCCACCTTAAAGTTCACATAGAAATAAAGGGAACCTGCCCTGGCTGAAGCAAGTGTCAGCCGGTTCTGCGGGACCTCACAGTAAGCACAGGCCCCGAGGACCTTGCAGTCAGGCTTTGCTGCTGAGGCACAGTCCCCGAGTGCCAATGCGGCGTAAAAACTAGGATGCTGTTCCTGGAGATGCCTAGAAGGCTTTCCAAAGCTCAAAATGATGTCCCAGTCCACCTTGGTCATGTTTCCAGGAATTTCAAGACATTTATCCAGCTCTTTGGATTATATTTGTATAGAAATCAATCTTTAAAATGTACCTAATTCTTGAGAAAAAAGCGGAACAGCTAAAAATTGA